GAGAGACTGAAAAAGAAAGAAAGAGAACAACAAAGGAGAATAAAGATAGATAGATAGATAAGATAGATAGATAGATAGACAGATCCACAAATATGAATTGAGATGAATGAGAGAGTGCCATTAGATGAAGGAACAGACTGAAAAAAACAGAGAGAGAGAGAGAGAGAGAAATGAACAAACCCAGATAGATAGATTTTAGATAGATAGATAAATAGATAGAAAATGTGATTGAGAGAGCCAATTAGAACAGACTGGAATAAAAATAGAGAGAGAGAAATGAAGAGCCGAAATAGATAGATGAAAAGATAGATAGATAGATCGATGGGATTTAGATAGATAGATAGATAGTTTTCCCTTTGCCGTGATCCATGTGCCTTACTTCTTGCCTATGACACTGGACTAAGCTCTATATTGAGATAAAGAGAGAAGAACAGACTGAAATAACATAGAGAGAGAAAGAGAGAGATAGAGATTTAAAGAGATTGTTGAACAAAAAACCCAGATAGATAGAATAGATAGATAGCAATAGATAGATGGGTCTAGATGCAGAGATCCCAAATATGAAGATGATTTTTGAGATTGAGAGAGAGGAATGGACTGAAATAAACAGAGAGAGAGAGAGAGAGAAATGAACGGTTTGGCCAGATAGATAGTGAATAGAGGTCTGTATTAATATCTAGATAGATAGATAGATAGATCCGTTTTAGTGATTGAGATTTTAAAAAATTTAACATTGAGGAATAAAAGAGAGAGAAATGAATTTTTAGATCGGAGAGTTAGATAGATAGATAAGATAGATAGATAGATAGATAGATAGATAGATGATAGATGAAACTCTTCACAAATTTGAACTGAGATTTAAGAGAGAGGAACAGACTGAAATAAATAGAGAGAGAAAGAAAGAGAGATGAAGATAATGAACAAACCAATAGATAAATGAAATAGTTAGATTTAACATTTTTAGATAGATAGATCCACAAATAGTGAACTGAGATTGATTTAGAAAGAAAAGGAACAGACTGAAATAAATAGAGAGAGAAAGAAGAGAGTAAATATCTAGAAAATGAACAATCTATCAGATATATATATATATATATATATATATATATATATATATATATATATAGATAGAGCAGTAACTAGAGAGTGACCCATGAAAGGAAAATGAATTTTCGAAATAAATTATAGTCATGGAGCTTTAGGTTGTCTCTTTCTTCATCAATTAATAGTTTCTCTGGTGTTAGAGAGATTAAAGAGAAAGAATTAACACGGATTACCAAACCCTTCAGATAGACTAGATATATATATATATATATATATATAGATATATATATATATATGAATTGAGATTGAGAAGAATTATAACATAAATGTCATAAAATCAATAAAAAGAGATTTTGTTTCAGAAAGAGAGATGATGTTGAAGATAAAAAAAGAGAAACAAAATGGCTAAAGTGAAGATAGATAGTTATAGATAAATAGATAGATCCTCTAATTATGACTCTTTTAAGAATAGTAATTGTTGGTTATTGGAATTCATTCCATATATACCAGTTATACTTATATATATATATATATATATATATATATGTATGTATTTATGTATGTATATGCATGCGTGTGGTGGGTGCATGTGCCTATTTTTTATATAAGCATATATACCCGTGGTAACAGCTAGTTTTTTTTTCTTTTTTTTTTAGTTTTGCAATTTGTTTCAATTAATTTTTTTATTTGATCTTTTATCTCTGTTCTCAAATTTCTAAGGTTGTTTTCCCATCACGTGCAACGTCTCAGTTCTCTACACAAGTTATAAATTTCTTTAACCGAAACGACTGTAATCTCCTCCATTGTGGTTTTTTTTTTCTTTTCTTTTCTTTTTAAATTTAAATCGTTTCAGTCCCCCAAGCAAGGTGACAATGACACTGTAGAATTCAAGATCTAATGTGGCAAGGCGAGCAAAACGAATGAAGAAAAGGAAAAGAAAAAGGAACATGGCCGCCCTGACACTTTAATTTAAGAAAGACGCAGCCTCGGAGCTAGGAGAATTGGTGACAGTGGTTGGGTGTATGCATTTTTTTTTTTTTTTTGCTAAAACAGTTCGGCATAAAAAAACACCACGCGAAAGAGAATAGACAGTTCGCTTGTGAACGTGGTACTGCTTGTACGGAGAGACTTTGTCAGAAGTTGGAAAGATATTACTTTGGTCAGTTTCACACAGACACTAAGCCATAAGGGTTTTTACGGGGAGTGGAAAAATATAGAACACTTAATTAAGCATAAAAGAAAATAAAAGAACAAGGCTTCAAGAAAACAGAAGATGGCAATTGACATTGCATTTAATTTTTTTAAATATTGTAGGTGGCAGGGGAGCAAGAAATCGGAAGACACTTCCCCTAGTGAGAGGTGCGAGAAAAGTAGATATTGGAATAGACTTTGCGGTTATATGTAGGTATTTTAACAGCAAAACAATAAAACCTAGTAGCCAAAACTTAAATTCATGTGGTTTGCAATTGCTTCTTTAATAAGTTAATATGTAAAATCCATTTGTCAATAATGGTAAGTGCGGTTCTTTCTTACGTAGAATCCCAGGTTATAAATTTGGGAAGAATTTAATTCTTGCTTCTCTGGCAACGTCCGCTGAATCTTACTCTCCTCGGAAGCAATTGTAAACGTCACATTTAGAAAGGAGCCATAGAACATTTTGTTAGTCCTATATTGCTGCCACATGACGTTTTCGTAAATCTCTTAGCGTCTGGGTATAAGCTACCATATATACTTTGCTCTATGCCTCCATTAGAGTCCATTCCCTGGAACAGCTAATTCTTACGACCCATGTAATATTGATGAGCCTAAAATTGCAAAAATGAGTTTCTATAATCATACTACAGGATGTGGCAGAAATAATTCCTTCATTTAAACCGTCATCTGTGCAGTGTTAATGAACTCGGGCAAGTAGTAATGGGGTCTGCATCTGGTTGGTACCTTATTTATTTTGTGATACTATCACTTAACATCATGACTTGAGCCGATACACCACAGAGAGCTGTTTGTGCTTATTTCCTGTTACGTCGGAATGATGTTGTTCCAGATAGATAGATAATCGATACTGTGACACGATATGATTATTAATTGGCACTTTAAAATTATTGAGAAGAAAATCTTTTCATTTTATTTTTATCTAACACAATTCTATCAAAAATAGGATTTTGTTGAAAACAAAGCATTTTTCTATGATTTGGCTATTTTGAAGGTCACTGGGTTTAAAAAGTTCGAGTTTGTCAACGTTAAAGATACCTGTTGTTTATTGTTTGCCTCCGTAGATGGTCTCCATATTGAAAGGTCACTGCAAAAACTGTCAAATATTGACAGCACCTGCATAAGTTGCATTTGACCTACTTACATCATCCTGGCTGTCTTCAGTGTTAAAGGTCAATAAGAATGTAATAAATAAAAAACAATGTCGAATCGAATCATTTCTCCCCGACTTCCGTAAATTATAAAGACCCGAAAGAACTCGAACTATGGAGTGATGAAAAACTTTGGAAATCGTCTACAAGTGTTTATGGCGAATAGAGGCCACGATTTCAAGAATAAAAAATTTAGCCCTTTTATTTAAACAACAGTGAAATAATTCTTTTTATACCAGTTGTCTTAGTCTGCTTGTAAAACTTTAAAATGTGGGAGATATTTTGGCCGCAACCTGTATTTTTATAACTATAATATATGCAATATAGCGGGTGTAACAGCAAAATTGTTCAAATCGTCTAAAAGCAAAATAGTCCATCTATTTGAACCGTTGTATATTAGAAATGATTAAAAATATATTACTGGAAAACTACGAGTTTGTTTTAAAACACTATTGGTCTCTGTTTTGGGCAAAAAAATGTATAACTACTATCTAAGCTTAAAAGAATCTTGATGAAATCTATCACAAACGAAAATGACATGTTCATCATTACTTAATCATAAATAAGGATCGGAAGCTCATGAAGGATTGAAATAAAGTTTATTATATATATATATATATAAATATTATATATATATATATATATATATAAACTTTATATATATTATAAATTTATATATACATATATATATATATATATATATATATATATATATATATATATATATATATAAAGACCCTGCATATGTCGCAAGCTCTACATGAAGTGCCTTCCATGCGATACTATGCAAGAGACACTTGACGTGTGTTGATACCTGGATCGTCTGCAGCATCCTGTCGAATGTGTTGTTCGTGGCCAGGTGTACGAGCAGATCTCTGTCTTCCTCGATCCAGAGTTTGTGATGACTGGGATACTGTCTCAGCAACGCGACGATAAACAGCAACAAAATTTGGATGACTCGGCTGCCTTCGGTTTAGAAACGCAATCCGTTAGGGCTTTCATCCATTACGATTCGCGCGGCCGTATAGAGAAATCATATCTTCCTGCTCACGACATGAATATCTAGCCACAAATGTACACGACTGTACGAAAGTAAACCAGTCGACATGGTAAAACAGCGCCATCTATCGTAAAACTTCTTTAAACTTAACTCAAAAACGCAGAATTTGCAGACATATGTTTATATGGATTTTCGTCCTCGTTTTGGCGTGAGGAACCGCACCTATAGTTTGTAAAAAATAATTTTTATACCCTGTATATATATATATATATATATACAGAGAGAGAGACGAGTTCGAATTCCAGTCGAAATCATTACAGTCACGTGCTAAAACCTTTGAGTAAGGTTTGAATCCTATTCTTCTCTAGTAATTAACAGGTGAGACTGGATTCTAAAGCCTTGGATGTCAACTGGTCTAGGAGAAGGACAACTCTGAATTCAAAACCTGCGGAAGGTTGTTTGGGGACCTTGTGGCACTTAGTGCAGAAGGTCTCTATATTCGACCCTTCAAAAAGTGTGATTAAATCGGCACAAAGCCTTCACCGCTATAATCAAATTATATGTGCTGGTGTCTGGTTGTCGGTTCCTAGGAACTGAGTTGCTGACCCTCATACGCCGAATACAATGGGAGCGTCCACACACACACACACACACACACACACATATATATATATATATATATATATATATATATATATAAATTCATGAATCATTCATGCAAAAAACAAATATAGAGGTAAATGATTTAAATGGCGAGAATACATTATCGCAAACAATATAAATAAGATACACCAACCACGAACCTGTATATGAATGTATCTTATTTATATTGTTTGCGATGATGTCGCTATTTAAATCATTTACCTCCTTATATTTGTTTTTTTGCATGAATGATTCATGAATTTATAAATTATAATTACACCTTTTAATTTATATATATATATATATATATATATATATATATATATATATATATATATATATGTTGTTATGAAGAACTTGGTAAACCGAATTGGTAAATCCAAGGAGGATGAAATCCTGAGAGCTCAATGTGAAGAACAGAGCTAATATTTAATGAAAAAAATAGACCACTTTTAAGGTACCATTACAATAATTTATTTCACCAAAATCCTTTTAAAGGATTTATTTGACCAAAATCCTTTTTAAAGGATTTATTTCACCAAAAATCCTTTTTGAAGGATTTTGGTGAAATAAATTATTGTAATGGTACCTTAAAGTGGTCTGTTTTTTCATTATATATATATATATATATATATATATATATATATATATATATATATATATATATATATTATTTAAAATAATA